TTGAGCAGTGGTAACCAATAATGCATAGTGGAAAAACTTCAAGGTCAGGGATTCTATTAAAATGAGTAGCGGCTGAACACTGGTATGATGACACAACTTGTATGCATCTGTAGAATTTGCCAACTTGCTCAAGGTACAAACTGTTGGATAAGTGGCTTCAATACTCAAGAGGGGGTGAATTGAGTTTTATAAAATCTTTTCGTAAAGTGCCTCCTTTGATATTTTAAAGAGTGATTCTTCAAGAAAATGATTTAACAAGGAAAAGTCTAAGCGTAAGAACAAGTGTGTGATCAATAAAGTAAGCTAGCGAATAAATAAACACTTTCAAGAAATCAAGCGGAGGTGTTTAACAATGGCTAAGTGCTCTTAAAGTACAGATTATACAAGTTGAAGAACTATGGGTGTTGACATTTTCTCAAGAACAAAGATCAAAGAGTATTTTAGATCAAGATGAATGACAATAAGCAAATGATGTGATTTAAATCAAGAATGATGATCAAGAAGAGTTGTTAAATCAATAGAACAATAATCCCTATTTATAGAGGGCCCCCATGAGAGTTTATACAACCATTTTCGCAAAACTAGCCATTTATAGCCATTATTTTCGTCCTCTGGTGCAAGAGGGAATCGATTTCTTTGCTGTGAGAATCGATTCCCAACTTTTCCAGAGAGTGGGATTCAATTCCCATTGAGTGAGAATCGATTCCCAACCTGTTGGAAAGGTTCGAAATACGTTCATAAGCTTTCTTCTTTATTTTAAATTCCTTTCAAACATGTTCAATTACTTGATTGAATCTTGAAAACATATTTTTATAAATATGTGATGCTAGAAATCCTTTTTGTTATCAAATGATGATTTAATGCATGTACTTTAACAGAAATATTTTGAGCTTACTTATGCAAGAAGTTAATTACCCTCACAATTAATTTTATGTCCTAAAGTATATTACTTGATAATTCTTGGATTTAGATTCTTCTTTTGAGGCTTGAATCTCGATGAACTTCATGAATGTTAGATGATTATTTTTTTTTATTGTTGCAACTTGAGGCCTTCTTTCATGCTTTGTTTGTTATCATCAAAATCCTTTAATCTTTTCATTCTGCATTGGTTCCACATAAACACCATTGAAGATCCCCTTGTAAAGAGAATCAAGAGCTATCCATATGCTATCACTACCAGAACAAAAAAAGTCATTATATGCCTGGGAGAAGATATCTAAAACAATTACTAAGTTTATAGAACCAATGCCACCGAAGGAATTCGCAGCTGCCGAGTGAGCATTCAGAACCCACCTAATTGCATGTAAAGTTGATGCCCAAGCTCTAGTTGTACCAGGGGTCACTGTACAGAGGAAGTAACCCAGTTTATGAAGTTTCCCAATATAACTGCAACAACCATCATAATATGGGAGTCCATTTGAATACATCAGATAAACTACACTCATAATATTTTCCTCAAGTAATTGTTTTGCCCTCAACCGATTGGTTGGTAATGCAAAAGAAACACAACAGCCCTTATGCCGAAACCGCCAAGAAGGAAGAGCTGAAAATATGTTGAATTTGTTGCCACTCATAAAACAACAGAGAAATGATAGAATGCCTAAGAAAAGGTAAAATTTAAGATAAATGTGTTGCACTATGTGATTCATGGAGTCTGGAAAGTAAATGCAAGTAATCTGAAGTAAGCGTCTCCCCATTTTCAAAGGGACCACACCTCGTTCATGCCTTACATCGAACATCATGCACACTAAATTAAAAAATGCACAGATATTCAATAGTGCTTGGGGTTGAGCCAGTGCATGCAAGTGAGGAATATTGAATCCCGAAGGATCACCGTCAAGCCATGGAGGGCCAGTGGAATCAAAGTCAAACCCCACCTAAAAGAGAAGAGTAAATGGAAAATGTACTACAGTGGATCGTTCACCTGATTTATGGAACATCATTGTTTCTGGTAGAGGGATAGCTCCTCCAGATGTGGACTTCTGGCAAAGAGTGATGGCATTGTCAATTACTGGAGAAGTCAATGAAGACAGTGCTGTCGCATAGAGCAATGAGGCTTCGATCTCTGGATCTGCATCGACATCAACACAAACAACTTGTTCCAAAGGAGATGCATCTGCAAATTCATGAAACATCTCTCGATTGTTCAATGATTCAACAATCGGTTGTTCCACCTCTGTTCGATGCACCTCTTTCTGGTCTATTGTCTCGGATTAACGAATAGTTAGCTTCAACCAAAACTTGCGAAAAGCCTATTGAATTTTGATAGCCACTTTTGCTTCATGCAGCTCATGAATCAATTGCTGAAGCAGGCATGTCACGTTCTCACATTTGGTGGTCACGACTGCCAAACCAAATTTCATCTCCGCAAAAATAGAGTGAACTGATTGTTAGTGAGCGTCATTGATGGAGATAGGTGTCATGGAGTTTGAGATCAAGGATGAAAACATGATGAAAATGACTCAACGAAAGTATCAATTGTTAAAAAAGAAAAATGAACAGAAACAAAAACATGAAAAATACCTCTCTTCGAGGAAGAGTACCTCCTAAACCAAACAAAGATTCAACTATTTCCTTTTTTATTAATAGTGAAATCAAGACCTTTTATACAGCCAAGGCTCCTATTAGTAACAGAAAGGAAAATAAAAACGCATACAGCAGCACCCAAAGGAATCTAATAACATATCTTGATAACTGAAAGCAATATGCAAAAGCAATACACAAAGGCATACTAACATAACCACCCAAACAAACATGTAAAATTTTCCCTCACAGCTCTCGCATTTAATGCTTATAACACAAATTGGGCTGGATTTTGTTCCTCTTGATCCCTTTGATTTACCGGCCCACGTGTATTATATAGTCAATATCAACACAATACAAATTTAAAATTAAGTTAAAATCTTCAACATGAACACAACTTACTTATTTTGCGGATTGACACGAGACAATACGAATAACACACAACCTCAAAATGTATTGTTTATTATGCATGTTGACACTACACGACATAACACAAATAATCTGTGAACAACAAAATGTGTTGCTTATTATGTGAGCTGACATGATATGATAGACACGAATGTTGGATTTTTGGGTTTAAATTCCATGGGTTATGAATGAAAAGTTTGATCTAAAAAAGTGTATTTTTTCATGTGGAACGTATGTGTCTTTTCGTGTCGAACGGACGTACTTTTTCGTTGACAAAGAGGTGTCTTTTAAACGTGACCTTACATTTTCTATAAATATATAGAGAGTTAGAGTTTTGGTTAAGTTTTTCTTTCTTCCATTTGCATTCCATTACTCTAGTGTGATTCCTCAAACATTCAGTTGTGTTTGTTAAGACTCTTGATTGATAGTGTCATCATTCTTGGGACGCAATCTATTATCATGGGAGACAATTGTTCATCAACATGCGACATCCGTAGAGGGAACAAATTGTCTTAAGAAGACAACAACTATTGGGCTCAAATTTATTACATATTGACATCTCTTTCATATATCTGTAAGTTCATTCCTTATTTTTAATGCACCTTAATTGTAGATTTAATTATAGCATCTTCGTTGCATGGATTCAAATCTTTTAGTGATTATTCACCCACTGTCTTCTACAATAACGGATAACTTATTTACAATACGTCACGAATAACTTGTCAAAAGCCGAATAAGAGAAAACTCAATTTTTTTTACCTCCAAGATGTTGGGACATTGACCATTGTGCCACCCCTTTAATAAAAATTTACTTGATTGCCACGTCTGGATATTTTTTTGCCAAAATGCCACGTCACAATCTCGCTGGTCTGACAAGCGGGAATGGGTTGGACACGTGTCAGCGTCTGAATGGTCAACCATTATCGCTGGACTGCCCAGCTAGAATGACAGAATGCTGACACGTGGTAAAAGTACAGACATCCAGAGAATGCCTGTACTTTTGCCACGTGTCAGCATTCTGTCATTCTAGCTGGGCAGCCTAGCGAGAATGGTTGACCATTCAGACGCTGACACGTGTCCATCTCATTCCCGCTTGTCAGACTAGCGAGATTGTGACGTGACATTTTGGCAAAAAAATATCCAGACGTGACAATCAGGTAAATTTTTGCCCAAAAAGTGACAATATGGTCATTGTCCCCAAGATGTTAATCATATGGAATGATGGAGCTCTGCTTGTCATTGGCATTTTTGCTATCTTAGTTCAACTAAACCATCATTAATTTTTTAAAGAATTTAATGTTTTTCGATCAAGATAATAATTAATATAACCTCAAAATAAATTAAAATTAAATTATTATTTTTTCAAATCGAAAAAGACATCATTTTGACTCTCTAGAGATAAATTATCTCATCAAATAATGGTAGCTCAGTTGACGCATAAGAGTGAGAGCATCTGTTCAATCCTCCACATTACCATCTATGAGAGAGAAATTTAAAGCGTTAATCCTAAACTCACCCCGAATCGAACTAATCAGGAAACGATGAACCGATAAAATATTTTTAAAAAAATAAATAAATTGTCTTCAAATACTAAAGAAACATTAAACCTTTTTTTTAAATCTAAAAAAATGGACAAAAGAAAATTTTTGCCATGCAGCTTCATCCTCATCTTAGCATAAAATGCACTAGCTAATATGTTACTCCCATGAAAGCGAGTAGAACAAGAGAGGTTCTAACTTTCAACTTAGAGTAAATACTCTTTTCGGTTTCAAATTTTACGATACCCGCTATAGTCCCTAACAAATAAAAAAGCTATTTGTGGTTCCTAAAAAATTTAAAGTGAATCCATTTAGTCCTTTTGAGGGACTAATATAAATTTTTTTAAATTTATGAGGGACCACGATTTCAACTAAATAGATCTATTTTGAATTTTTTAAGAATCACAAATAACCTTTTTATTTGTTAGGAACTAAAATGGACATCATAAAATTTATCGAGAACCGAAAAGGATATTTACTATTTAAATTATAAAGAAATCACAAAGAGAGCATGAAGACATGTCACACGGATGCATGTTATATATCATATCAGATAAATATACAGTCAGGTTAACTTCAACAAAACCAAAAGGCAACCTCATAGAACATCATTAATTCATTATACAGCCCCAACAAAAAAAAAAAAGTGAAATCCGAAAAACAAGATAATTCTTTTAGAAAATTAAAAATCAAATCCAGCATCATCAAAGCCAGCATCGTAACCAGCATCATAAGAAGCAGCATCAGATACCATGTCCCCAATCAACATTCCACCCAATGCACCTCCAAGCAACCCTGCTCCCAACCCCATTCCAAACTTGTTCTTCTTAGGTTTCTGACCCGCTGCATGCCCGTAACCCGGTTGTTGCGGATACCCATAACCCGGTTGTTGCGGATAACCATAACCCGATTGTTGCGGATACCCATAACCCGGTTGTTGCGGGTACCCGTAACCATAACCCGATTGTGCCTGCGGATAACCACCATACGCCTGCGGTGGCGGCGGGTAGCCATGTCCAGCGGCGTATTGTGGCGGCGGCGGAGGATACGACGCCCCATACGGCACCGAGCTACTCCCCGCTGCTGCCGCCCCCGGCGGAGGATAAGCCATCACCGGCTCCTGCTTCTTCACCGCCGATTTCGTCGCCGGAGCGGCGACTTGTTCACCGAACTTGTAGGAGAAATTAAACGAGCCCTGGGTCTTCCCGGAGGGTTTCCTCACCTGGTAACTAACTTGCCGGAAGGAGTTGCCGTCGCCGGGATTGTCGAGAAGTTCCTTGAGAGGGACGTGGACGGTGCCGATGACGGTGTCGCCGGCGAGGGTGCGGTCGGACATGAGCTTGACCTCGAGGGATAACCGGTTCTGATGCACCAGCGATTCGTTAACGGAGAATTTAACGGTGAAGTTCCACGTGGGGTTGGTGCCGCCGTCTTTGTGAACATGGGTGGTGGCACTCTGAGGGTGGAGCGTGTCGCCGGAGAGATAAACGACGGCGTATGCGTCCATCTTGGAGAAAAGATTAACATCTTTGAGGTCTTTAGCGGATATGATGTTGAGTTCTAAGGTCCTGTATTCCATGGTTATGGAGCAAGGGAGGAAATAGAAACAGAGTACGATATTTGAGAGATTTTGTTGGGTTTGGTGTTTTTGTTGGAGGTAAAGGTGGCAACTGAAATTAACATTTATAATGAAGTTATGTTAGTTTGAGAATTATAGGGAAAACAAGATATTTATGAATCTTCCAGGTCGGTACTGTTTATTATTGACGCGTATCTTCTGTATTACTATTTTTACTTTTAGTTATCGTTTTCTTTTCTTGCCCTGTCCCATTTTCCAAAGGTGGTTCTGTTTTTTTTTTTCTAATTATTATTAATGTTAAGTACCTTTTCCTCCTCATCAATGTCTAATTTTCTTAAAAAAAATTCGATTCATAATTTGTACAAATTTAAATTCATATTAATTTTTTTAAGAAATTAATATGGATTTTCTTTGAATTTCAGATAAATCACAATTTATTTATTTAAAAAATAAAATAAAATTGCCTATAATTTTTGTCGGGGATTTAAAAGATAATTTATTGAAAAAACAAGTATCATGTTATAGGACAATTCTCTTGTCATGTTATAGAGACAATAAGTGTGGGATCCATCGTATTTAAAATAAAAAGAAAAAATACAGCACAAATATCAATATATATGTAGGAAACTTTACATTTATCATGCAATATGACAAATGCAAAATTCTAATTTATTATTAGTATTTGAAAATTATGAATATAATGTTAATGGATAAAATCAACATATACAATAATAAGGACAGAGAAAGTGAAGGAAGGATTGAGAAAACAAAACTGATTGATCCCACTAGTTTATTGTGTCCGCTCGAAACTTTTTTTTATGTAATATTATATAGACGAAGGTTATACTTAATATATATTTTTTATAATAACTTACAATTATATCTTAATACTGTTGATTTTTATCAATCAATGATTATTATTTTTATAAATTAAATTCATTAATTAATTATTAATTTACAATAAGTGATAATCGTTGATTGGCAGAAATCAACGATATTAAGATATAATTCTAAGAGATTGTAAAAAAAAAGTTGTAAGTATAATCTTCCTCTATTATATAATTCTCTTATTATTTATGCTTTATCATTAAGATATTCTGTAAAACTTGATGCACCCTGAAGTCATTTTATATAATTAAAATTGTTTGGTTAACGTGAAAGAATAATTAATGCGAAACTTAATTATGTAGCTGTAGAAAGGAAAGGAAATTGTTCCATTCCGATGAAATTCTCAAACACGAATTGCACTTCACTAAGACACGCGTAATGTGCATGTATCATGTCGACGCATTTCTATCCGGGCCACGGTTTGGACACGGCACCAATTTGCATGTTCGAGAATTTTTGAACGCAAATCAATGAAGCATATTGAAAACTGATTTTTTTTCTTTTTTTTTCTTTTCTGCAAAGTATATGAAAAGTGGGAAAGTTGAGTTATTGGGATCCTTATAGACTAAAACATTTCATGGAATGGAAACAACTTACACCAAGAAAGGTGGCATTGGCCTCAGATGCTTTGTACTCATTATCGGTTTTATACTTTTATTTTGATCACCTTTTTTTTCTAGGCATAATTACATTTATACCATGCATTCACATAGTTTGTTCTATGTACAGCTGAAAAGTGGTCTGTTCTGCTGGGTCAAAAGGATTTAATAATTTTTGGTGTCATTTGAAGATTGTTATTAACTTATTATTATTGGTTTACCAAATGAGTTTGTTTTTTATGCCGTTACTCCAGATAAGTTATCTGCAATAAGCTCAATACGACGTTGTTTTAGAACGGAAATTATGGTAGTTTTATAATTTTAATTTATTTCAGGATTTTTGGGAATAAATGTAGATAACTTATCTGCAGTAACTGCAGAAACATTTTTCCCTCACCAAATTTGCAGTGCAGTTTCCAAATTCAACTTGAGATATTTGGAAAATGTGTATGAGCAATGCTTAATTATGATTTATGAATGTGTTCCTTATTTACTATGTATGTTTTCTTCTGTAAATCGGGCCTTCGGGCTTATAAATTTCTTCTATAATTTAGGTCCTGCACTATTGGGCCAGAGATTTTGGGCAACATTCCATAAAGCCTAGTAGAATTGGGTTAAGCATCCCTTAATCTACCCTTACAATGTCCCATACTGTATGGATTTTACTGAATGGACCAAGTTTGGAAGTGGTGTTTAGACCCCAAAACAATGTTGGGACGAGTCAAGTTTTTATTTAAAATACATTAATAAAATATTGTCAACCAAACTCTGCACATGTACTTGTTTATATTACTGGATATTTTAGTTTTGAGGGTTTAGTTTTTTTGTGCGTGTGTTAATATATGTAAATATAAAGGTCTAGTGCAGTACATTCGTACTGTGAGATAATCTTGTTAATCCTAAAGTTATCTCTTGTTGAGTGATATTGATCCCACTATTTACGATAATGCACTAGAAGATATTTTTTAATCAAGTGTTGGTCAAAACTATGAACCATGAGGTGGAATATTTGTATTTCAACTCTGTTTGGTCTCTAGTAAATGTATCAAGAGGGGTAAGACCTACTAGGTGTATGCAGTGGAGGACCCAAAAAATTGTATTCGTGTGTGCATATTTAGTGGTGGGTCCGCCGTTGCATATAGCTCTAAACACTGGTGGTAGGAATGACAAGGAGCATGCCTTGGCCTCAGAAACAAGGGTTGAAACATTGAACATGTTGCAACAAGATACAGATGAGAGACTGGAGAGGAGTTCATCCAATTTGTCATCAGTGGATGTATCCTCTGATGCTGAGAGTCCAGTAAATGGTCAAACTTCTATGGCAAGCACCTCAAATCATATTTCAGTGACAGCTCAAAAGCAAGTTATTTCCCCAAATGCTGATCCTTCTTACCTCTCTTGGAGGAAATTTCTTCCTTGTTTCTTTTAAGTACTTTAAATTATTTGTTTGTAACAAGAACCAAGCGAAGGAAAAATCGAGCTATATTCTAGAAAATTAATGTCTGCAATTGCAGACATAAGAACATATGTAGGTCCGCCGTTGGGTGTATGTGGACCTATAAGACAAAGAGATAATAGACAGGAAGGTGAAAACCTTCAAAACTAGTTTGGAGGCAAAACATCACACCTTATAGAGGTTGTAGATTAAGAGAAATTTTTTGGCCCGATGCAATGCTAGAGTCTATCTAGATTCTGTTAATTACTGCTACAAGTCTCAACTATGAGATTTTATTTAGGAGATGGATGTCAGAATAATCTTTCTGAATAAAAAAGGTTTATAGCTAATGGGTAGGAACACAAGGTATGCAAGTTGTGAAAGTCCATTTCATGGACTTAAGTAAGCATCCAGATCATGGAACATCAGTTTTGATAAGGTTTTCAAAAAAATTTACCTTGATTAATCGTGTGCATTTGTATGTAAAGGATCCAAGGGGAGGCAATAGCTTTTCTGGTACTTTATGTTGATGATATGCTCCTTATTGGAAACAACGTACATGTAATGTCGAGCATAAAGAATTGACTGAGTAAGCGTTTTGATATAAAAATTCTGGGGAAACCAATTATATTCTTTGTATAAAACTCTTACGTGACAAGAAGAATAAATTATTGGCATCACCTTAGGCTACTCACATTGACAAAACTCTTGTCAAAACATGGGGAATTCTAAAAGGGGAATCATAACTCTCAGACGTGGAATTCATCTTCCTAAGGAATAAACATCTAAAGCTCATGAACAGGAAGAATGCATGAGTAAGATATCTCATGCTTTGGCAATAAGTAGTCTCATGCATACCATGTTTGACGTTAAACCAGACATCTACTACAGTGGGAGTAGTAAGACATACCATTCTGATCATAAAGGAACACTGGATTGTTGTTAAGCATGTACTCAAGTATCTTCGAAGAATGAGAGATTATATGATGGTATATTTTAGTGGGAGTCTTGAAAAGCAGAGCTTTCACAAGTTCTATTTTTCAAGTGGATATTGACTCAAGAAAATTGACCTCGAGTTATGAGTTTTTCACTAAACTAAGACAACATTGGAGGTGGATCTTGCAGACCCAGTTACTAAGAGTTTACCTGAACTTGTATTTGAGGGGCATGTTAATTCTTTAGGTTTTAGGAGGATCCTAGACTTGCATTAGGCGAGTGAGAGATATTGTTTTCATTGTGCTTTTATAGTAAGACAATGAAACTATGTAATTTTACTAATGAGGTATTATTCATTATTTTGTGCACACAATTTACAAACATTAAGGTCTGGATCAATTGTGGAGTATATGATTATTTGGATACTTCATCGAGGACATGATCATTGGTTCTCACAACTGATGAATTAGTTCACAGATGTTAAATATAGTTAGGCACTTTATTGAGGCTGCAATATTTTATGAAATGATTTTGTCCAACTCATTGTAAAATATTTGTGTGAATTAACATTCACATTGAAAGGATCAAAGAGAGATTTGATTAAGGTTATTTTTTGTCATAAGGTATCAGATCTTCAGTTAATCATAATTATATAATTGCTCTTAATCCCGAGTTTATTATAAACAGGTAATTGAATACCTTTCATTCTATGATTTACCAACGGGTGAGGCCAGACCTATTGACGACCAATAACTCAGTATTTTGGGAGTGAAATTATTTGATTATCGGTATTTATGAGATAAACAACATGGAATTTGTAAGATATGTCCCATAGATATGTTTCGGTACTTGGATATTGAAGATATTGGCAAGTGCATGTAATCCATTAGAGAAACTATCATAGTCAAGGGAATAAATAATTGATTGAGTAACAGAAAACTAATCAATCAATTATTGACATTCTATAAAGGGGCAATGCATATTCGTTTTATACGTGTAATTAATCTCGGAGTTCAAGTTCGGACTTTTAGTAGAGTAACCCGAATTAAATAATCATTCGTTGATTATCTAGAGCCTTGATTAATAACAGCTAGTAGATCCCCAGACTAGCTCGAGATAAGGGATGAGACATTTTTAGTTGATGACTACTAGTGAGTTACATGGTCTTGGGTTTGGGCTCAAGTTTGTACTCAAGAGCAAGTGGGAGATTGTTGAGTTTTGCCCTTTCACTAAAGTCGAATTAGGCCTAGTGTGTAAGAAGAACCCAAGAAACCTAGAGCCCATTCAGTTTAGGGCTAGGATTCCTTGGAACCCATATATATTCTACACTTATAATAATCAGACTCCTGGTCTTTAATTTGTGGTTGCAGAGGCTGATGTAATGTCATTTTCTTGATAGTGAAATATTACCCACACACCTGCTCTATTCTCTCTTAAGAGATAGTATGGAAGCTCTGCGAGAAACTAGCCTCTACAAAGTGGTTGTTCATACTAGGATGCTAACCAGATCACATTGTGAAGGATCATCTCGATCTTCGCTGCTACAAGAGGTAAACATAAAACGATGATGATCCATTGCATTCCAAATCACAACGTTCTAAATGCTTTCGTAGATCCAATTGTGCCTACAAATTTCGGGATAGGATATTCTACCTATATTTTTTTCTTACTTACCACCCTCCAAAACTGTTATATCATAATCTCAAATAATATTTATCATTTCTTTCTTCTCTTAAAATTCTGATCTAACGGTATTTGAGAGTGATAAATAAAGTATGCAAATAAAAAAAGTAGGTAAAATAATCTATCGTGACAATTTTACTACTAACTTAAACATCCGGATGTTTTTATTTTTTTTCTCATTTACAAGTTCCTTTCTACCGTGGAACCGTCCTATTCTTGACCCTCCATCAACCTTTTAACGAGTTACAAAACTACCTCCCTTGCTACAGGAAAAAAGAAAATAACATGTCGTGGGAAATGCTAAAAAACGTGGCACCAAATAACTTGTGAACATACTAATCTATTGGAACTAGATTCACAGATTTCGAGAAATCCATGTCGCGCGAAACGCATTCCACGAGTAGCGTGCACCACATTAAAATGAAAAACAAAATGGAGGGCACTTGGAGGAACATATCTCATTTAAATCCACATATTTATTTTTATTTTTATCCGAGTCCCAATTTTTTTTTCTTTTTAAACAAATGTATCATTCAAAATTTGTTCAACTTGGAGACCCATGAATCCTGCGGCAAGGTACGTTTTTAGTCTAAAGGGCTCTTGCATGAAGGGGTGTGTTGAGATATATAGTTCCACATTGATTGAATGAGCAACTAATATGACCTTTATAAGAGTACTCCCACCCTTTGAGCTAACTTTTGGAGTGGTGTATCCCAAAATTCTTAACCGTAAGAGTTCCATACCCTCCTTCCTCTCGGCTCTTTCAAATAAAAGTCACTTAGTTTTGGTCAAATGATTGTAGATTCTCTTGGATATTATCATTTTCCTACGTGTCCATTACGCGTACACGATTTTTATAAATTGCCAATAGTATATTTTAGATTATGATTAATTTCACATGTAGATCTCTTCCATTTACAGTTTGAACTACTTGAAAAAAAATGCTAATATTTCCACAATGTGCGTGACATGCATAACCAACTATCAAACAGTTCTTTTAAAATAAATCACTTGAAGATAGCCAAGACTTTTTATATTCTAAAGGAACGTCCTTTTCTTTTTCTTTTCAAAGTTTTGTATGAGAGCAATTGTGTGCCCTGACGGCGGGCCAAATTGATAAAAGAAATAGTCTAACAATAATAAATAATTATATTAATATCACAATTCATTATATAATGTAAAATATGAATTTAATAACTAATAACATATTGCACAAACATCGAAGGCTCGTCTATTGCACAATTCTTTTTCTTTTCTAGTGTGATGCACATTTATGTTTCTTAAAAAAATAAATAATGATGAAAAATTCTTATTTGTATTATTTAATGAGAAAAATATTTGTCATTTTAAATGGTAGAAAGTTATGTCATTTTAGAGAGATACAGATACAGAAAATTTGAATTTTAAATTAAAAAAAACCACCCACTTACTCTCTCCCATGATTTCTATTTTTTTGTGTCTATCTCTCTCCTAAAATGACATAACTTATGTCATTTTAAATGACAAACACCCATCCACCAAAAAAATAAAAAAATGACAAACACCAAACCTTGAATTAATATAGGGGAATGATCTATTTATAATTTTTTTTTTTACAAATTTTTATAAATTATATTATCTATTCTCAGAAACGTAGAGTGTAACCGAGTGTACTTTTGAGAGTAAACTAAAAAGAAAAAATGGCAAGATAATTAATATATATATCAACGTAGAAAATAAAGAAAAAAATGTGGAAAACAAGACAAAGATTCTTTACAATGACACTGGAAACCGGATTCAAAAGAAGAATGCACCGTTCAAGGCCGAGGCAACATAACAAGATTACCTCGGACAAAAAAAAAAAAAAATTATTTGGAGTGGGGGCGCGATATATTTTGTTCCACCACAGAGAATTATTTGATTTTTTCATTTCAAACAATTTATACGATACATCAGAGGAATCTGGGATTTTATGATTTTCAAAAGTGGATTCAATTCTAAACAAAAATTTTGTAAATATAACTCTTCCCTTTAATATATATTACTTTAAATTTTTAATAATATTTTTAATAACATAATTATATATAGCGATACATATTAAATATATATCACATATTAATAACTTTTCTTGATTCAACAATTTTGAGAACTTAGGGTTTTTACTTCGTGAAATATTAACAAACACTCTTTTTAACACATTCTGTATTAAGAGGTAAATTTCATTAAATGACTTAGACATACTCTTTATTTAGCAAAACTTACCTAAAATTTACCTAAAAAAAGAATATATTGAAAAATATATAAAAGAATATACTTCGAAGATCTCTTTTTTCACTTATTGGTTATTGCTATGGGATGCAGCGATAGGTTGATGTTATTTCTCTCTCTTCTTTCCCAACCTCTCAAAGAGTCGTATATGCTATTGCTCGGTTTTTTTTTTTTTTCTCTTGTATTGGAGGTGTTTTTACTTAGAGTAAATATTTTTTTGGTCCTCAGCGAATTTTACGATATTCGCTTTAATTTCTAGCAAATAAAAAAGCTATTCGTGATTCCTAAAAAATTTAAAAGGAATTCATTTAGTTGAAATCGTGGTCCCTCACAAATTCAAAAAAAAAACTCATATTAATTCTTGAAAAAGACTAAAATGAGTCCATTTTGAATTTCTCAAGAATTACGAATAGTCTTTTTTATTTGTTAGGGACTAAAATAAACATCATAAAATTTGCTAACGAACGAAAAAAAATATTTACTCTTCTCTTTATGATGTGATTATTTTCAAGTGTGCTTTCTTCAAATTCTGGTGACGTGTAACCCTTCTCATGTTTTGTTTGGTTACTTTTTTCAAGTGTAACTATCTCCTCTCTTTTTTTTTGTTCTTTTTTCCCTCGAATATGCTGGTTTATAATAGATGCTTTTATTATATTTAATTTCTTATATAAAAGTTTATGAAGAATTGACTTTTTCATGGAACACTGCTGTGTCGATTTTCATAGCTACTAGTTTAATTAAAGGTTAATGAAATGATTGAATCATGCAAATAAGATCTTAAAATTTTCAGCGATGCCAATAAACTATTCAGCGATTGAAAGATATATAAAAATGATATTAAGGCAGTTAGATGTATAATTAAGTGCATTTCCACATTAGCTTATTTGTATTAACAAAAAAGTTTTGAGTCAAAAACTCTCAATTTTTTTAATTTTTTTTTTGTAAACTAAAACTCTCAAATATTTGGATCATATGCTCATGCATTAAAATATTTTCTACAAAAAACAAAGGAGATGATTTTCTTGATTATGGATTTAATCCTCACATCATACTAATGACATCCTACTTTGATATTTTTTTAGCATTAAAGGATCTAATACTATTGGAGGGTAACGTGATTTTCTATTGAGTATGATAGAATATGTTTGTTTTTAGGATGACTTCAATTAATAAATTCATTTTTTTTTCTTCTTAGGCAAATAATTTTTCTTATTACCAAAAATAACAAATCAGTCGTTACCAAAGAGAAAAAAAAAATTCTAACCTTGACTCTAAATATCATGTTTAGACTCTAAATACCAAAGAGAAACTATTGACCTTATGGTATAAATGGAAACCAAACAGAGTGTGAGACAAAGAAAAAGCAAAAGTTGGGGCATGTTTAAATTCTGATTTTCAAAAAGTTTTTTAATTTTTAAAAATAAAAATGAAAAAAATTATTTAATACGGCTCATTTTGTAAAAATAATTTTAAAATTATAATTATGTTTTAATTTTTAAAATCAAATTTAAAGAATATATCTGAGTTATATTTATTTTATATTGGAAAAAGTGTGTGTCATTTTAAAAGGATGTAACGTTATGTCATTTCAAGTGAGAGAAAGAGATAGATAAAAGAGGAGAGAGAGTGAACAAAAAAAAATAAAGATATGAATCCCACTTCTTTGTGAGAGTAAAATGACATAAATTGTGTCATTTGAAAAGATAAACATTTTTATCTTTTATATTTTGACTTTTAACTTTTAAAATAAAAAGTTACCTATTTTGTTAATTATTCCAAAAAAAAAAAAAACCAAAACAAGACAATCACACAGGAGAGCAGATCCTCTTATGTGGAAAAGTGATCATGTGGTCATGTTATTTGATCATAATCATTCATTTAAAAATTATACAATTTTCTCTCTCTCTTATATCATTATCAATAAATGGTTGTGATTAAATAACATGACCACATAATCACTTTTCACATAAGAGGATCCACCCCTTGATTTCATCCCTAGAATCTCTCTGTCCAAATATATTTCTTGTTTTTTTAAGGAAAAAACCAGGATATTCTATTTTAGTATTAAAAACTAAATAACTGTTGTCTGCCTCGGACTCTGCTAAATTCCTGCAAAGCCTCAGAGGGAAGAGGAGAGAAGTAGTCGCCTCAAATCTTGTCAATCAAAAAAGGCGGCAACAATAACAACTCTTTTCCCTTTCTCTCTCTAAAACTCCAATGTCTGTTCTCTTCTCCATTGCCTCCTTCCCCATCTGGTATTTTCCCCAAAGATTGCTGCTTTTTCTCTTTCACCCTATGCCCTTTGTGCTAATTCTCCTCACTTCTGCAAAATTTTATGAAAACCCTAAATTTTTCTTGTGCATTTATGAAGGGTTTCACCTTATTACGTTTGCTTTTTTTTTTTTTTTTGGGGGTAGTTGTGGAGTTTATTGCTATGTGTGAATTTTGCTTTGCAGGTTGTAGTTGGAAAGGGAAGGGTGTTATTGGCAATGGAGGAGGAGGAGCCAAGCCAGATGAAGAGGGCAATGATTGATGCCTCAGCTGGGGCTATTTCGGGTGGTATATCACGGACAGTTACATCACCCCTTGATGTTATTAAGATTAGGTTCCAGGTTTGTTTTTTATCATGATTGAGAATTTCAAATTGATCTCTGTGTTTTCTTCTTATTGCACTCCCACCACCATTTACGGGGTTTTTATTGTTATTTAAGGAAAGGTGGGGTTGTGTTGGATTCTGTATGCCAAAGATTTAAAAGTTCAAAAGACGGTATTGAATTGAGAATAAAAATATTTCTTTTTTTAGAAAAAGAAAAAAGAAAAATAAAATTTGCCTCCTCTAGCACTGTTGGATGATATAGAGTTTGATGAAAGTTTGGAAACTTCATTAAGAGTGACTGGTTACGGAATGGTTCCTCTCTCATGTCTCATTTAAGTGGATAAATTAATGTTGATGAGAGAGGAGAGAGGGAGCATTAAGATAGAGAGCTGATTTACTTGACATGATGGGGCTTACTTACAGTTTAACTTTCATTAATATTTTGAAGGAGTGTGGCTATCTAGCACTTGCTTGAATGCAATCTTGGATCTCACAATTTACACATTCTGGTGTCAAATATATGGGGTATGATGTGCATTGTCTGCTAGACTTCTGGAGATTCTGAATATAAAGCTAATTTTATTTTACATGTCTGGTTGGAAATAGGGTTACATGTCATTTTTTTCTTCTTTTCCACATACCCTTAGATGAAAGGGCCTATTGACTATTAAATTTTTTTATATTCATTCAGGGTGACCGAAAGGCTTTCAATTTACTTAATATATCAGGCATTTCTCGGTGATTGGCATCATATTACTTAAAAATCATGTGACTTCAGGATGCTTGCATTGACACAAGGGCTGTACTATGTGTGTTAATGTTTCCAAGTTTTGCATGAGATTTTGGGTTCTTGTGTTCATGGCTGTTCATTGTTGCCTGCTCCAATATCAAGGTGAGCAGTGAGCTGAAATAAACTGCTATTCACATTCATTGACAGGTTCAACTAGAGCCCACTTCTTCGTGGTCTTTAATACGCAAGGATTCGTCTACAACATCAAAATATACTGGCATAATTCAAGCAAGCAAAGATATTTTTAGAGAAGAAGGCATTCGGGTAGAATAACTCAGCTTCTATAATTAATTTTTAATTTTGCCCATACTTTACTTTCTCCCCATTAGTAATCTGGCGCTGATTCATATATCCCTTGAAAAGGTACCAATTGGCTGCCGCCTGTTGCTGACATTAGTATATGCATAGTGCTTGAATTCTTTAAAATGTCTTGTAGAAGTTTCCTGTCAACCCTTTTTCTGGGGAAAATGTGTATTACCCTTTTTTATTTGATATGTTACAGGGTTTTTGGAGGGGCAATGTGCCAGCTTTGCTCATGGTTATGCCATATACAGCTATACAATTTACTGTTTTACACAAGTTGAAGACTTTAGCCTCTGGTTCTTCCAAAACAGGTATCCCACTTTGTATTTCAATTGTTATTAAGTGGCCTAACATTTTAGCTTGATGAGCAAAGTGAATTTATGATTTATCTCCTAGGTGTACTATGTCTACTGAATTTTTTGTTGAGTCTGGTGGGGTTTCATCACAACATTATCAGCTATAACTTCAAATATGTAGATCTATGAGCTTTCCATATTCATTACAGTATAATGCTAAATTTACACTTCATTTTATTAAATTTTTTTTTTGGGTACAATTTACTAATTTATTTAATATGGAATTTAGGGGAGAATGGTGTCTGTAGTTAATGGGTGTATGTACTGTTTATATGGCAGGTCAAATCCTGTGTCCATGTGCGCTTTAGAGATATTAGTTACTAAGAAATTTCCTGTTTTATGTTTATTTTGTTTATCGCTTTGCTTTCTATTGCTGCAGAGAATCACATTAATTTGAGCCCTTATCTATCCTATATGAGTGGGGCTTTAGCTGGGTGTGCAGCTACTTTAGGGTCATATCCCTTTGATCTTCTCCGAACCATATTAGCTTCTCAGGGAGAACCAAAGGTATAAACATTATAAAAGGATCAAGGTTAAATAAGGTCTACATTTTTGTTTACCAAAAAAAAAAAAAAAAAGGTCTACATTCTGTCCTTTGTGCATGGAAGTTTTATATCAATGTTATGCTTTTGGTTAATTCTCTTTGCCAATTTTAGGGTGGGAGTGTTCACATTTGCTTCCTTCTTGTCTAATTAGTGGTGTTTCACATCAGAATTTGTCAGATATCATGTATGATTTTTAATGGCCTAGAAGCTAGGTTAAGCCCTAAAGTTTGCTGATCAAATGCCTATAGGGGCACCGCAACAGGGCTGTTTGTTGCAATGACATGAAAGGGGCGCCCAAAATCTGTTGCCAGGTTTTGAGCTTAACTGGTGACAGGGTTATATAATTATGATCCTTGCCTCAAATTAAGTGTTAGGTGGTACCTCATTAATTAGCTTTATTTGTGTTTTACCCTGCAAAGAGTTAAAGAAAAAAAAAACTCAACTCCTGGCTCTTGACAATATTAACTAACATTGAATGCATAGTCTGAGGCTGCTGTGGTTCTTGTGGAGTTAGTTTTGTAACTGTTCTATGCTAATACTTTTTCACCATTTAGGTTTATCCAAACATGAGGTCAGCATTCATTGATATTATCCAAACTCGTGGCTTCCAAGGCTTGTATGCTGGATTGTCACCAACACTAGTTGAGATTATACCTTATGCAGGACTACAATTCGGCACCTATGATACATTTAAACGTTGGACCATGGTAAAATTTCAGCCCTACTACTTAACATGTCATTCATCTTTAGTTGACATAATTAAGGCCGGCATACATAATTAAGGTGAACTGGTTGGCTCTCTTATATTCTGCATCACTGGTTATTCTAGCCTATTTTGCCTTGTGTCGTTCCATCATTTTGCAATCTTGAAGTTAAAAGATTATAGAAAAATTAGAATGACACAAGATGCTCCAGCAAGTTATTATCAATCCCTTTTGTTATGATGAGTTCTTGTTTGGTTACGAGGGTTGCTCTATGTGTGCTTCACTTGTTAAGTGCATGTTTGAATCTCCATTTCATTTTAGATTCTTACCCAATGTTAATAAAATCGGACCGGACCCGCGAACCGGCAAACTGATCATATAACCGGTCCTGTTGAAACAACGGACCGGCCATGCATCATAACCGGTGCGACCTGGCCAGTTTTTGTGAAAACCGGTGACTCGGCACGGTCCCAAAAAAAAAATTCCAATTTTTTTTTTCAAAAAACAATCATAATCGACATATTTGAGTATTTTTTGCTTATTGACTTACATAGGTTGTGTACCTACATCACTAATATTATCTCAATTATGCACTATTCAGAAAATTCTGATTTGATTTATAGTTAGAGATGTCATTTACTGAACCTGAAGTCCTATATCGCGATCATTATATTTTTGTTTGATCTTTTATTGGATAATAATGAGTGATTTATTATTTTTTATATTAAAATATTTGAAATTTTTATTAATTTTTTTAGATATTTGAGTATGTTTATAATTTTTTAATATAAATTGTAGAATTGTATATAATTACCGGGTATGCAATTCAATCAGTGACCCACTGATTGAACCAGTGACCCGTTACCTCGATCGGGTCAATGATCGGGTCGGTTTTAATAAGATTGTTCTTACCTGTTGCACAAGCTGCCATTCTGGATTTCTGGGCTTATGGACATGAACACTATTGGCTCTATATAAGCCTGTCATTATTTTTGCTCTAGCTATTTGCACTAACAAAGAAGCTATACAGCAGTTTGTATTAATTCTAAACTCGAGTCTGAGCAATTAATCATGTTCACCTTTTGGTTAGCAGTTCTCTGATACCTATTCTTCTGCTATGAATATAATAATTGGTAAAATTGTAGGCGTGGAACCGTGGTCAATATGCAAATACTGCCACAGAAGATAGCCTCTCTAGCTTTCAGCTTTTCCTGTGTGGGTTGGCATCAGGAACATGTGCCAAGCTTGTCTGTCATCCCCTTGATGTGGTCAAGAAAAGATTTCAGGTACATTTTAGAATGTTGAGAAAAGAAAAAAAGTAAACTTGTATTTTATTGGCTTCATACTGGTTAATTGATGGTGGTATAAGTTGTTATTCTGTCCATGACTTCATGTGGATATAGTCATTGAACCCCATTCTTTGTTTGCTGCAGATTGAAGGTCTACAAAGGCATCCAAGATATGGAGCTCGGGTTGAACATCGTGCATACAGAAACATGTTTGATGCCTTGAAACGGATATTAAAGGCGGAGGGTTGGGCTGGTCTATATAAGGGGATAGTCCCATCAACTGTTAAAGCTGCACCAGCTAGTGCTGTAACATTTGTTGCATATGAATTGACATCAGATTGGCTTGAGTCTCTTTTGACTTGATTTTTTACACTTCAGAGATGGGGGTGGGGAGAGATGAATTCTTTTTAATTTTTTTATCTCATTCTTTTTAACTTCAAAAATTAATTCCTTCATAATAGAAAGGCAGCACGAAGCAAATGATAAAGTTGATAAGATTCTATTTCTCTTTTAAGATGAAAAATAGATTAAGATAAAAGACAAGACCTATCACAGAGTAAGACCTATTTTCCTTTAATCTAAACGTTGAGCTTCAGCCGTTGAGGAATGAGGGTGTTATTCTTGTTAACGTGATTTTGAATTCCACATTTATGCCAAACGGTTCAAAATGGGTCTTTCTGTCCACTTTATGGGGGTTGGGATTTTGCATACACTGCAAATGCATTTAAAGTTCAACATGATTAATATTAGTTTTTATCTAGCTGTGAAGCTTTAGAGTCGGATAAATGATTAGCAAAGTACATGGATTAATTGGTAAGGGATTGTTTTGGTTTAATCAGTAATTTGAATTGTATAGGAAGAATTTTATCGCTTTTGTTATCTTGCCCAGCTCGATCAGATTAATCAATTAATTGATGAATTGATGTAAAAGAGTTCAGCAAAAGTAAGATAAATGGATTTGGTCATTGATAACTTCAAGATCTGCTTTATGCAAAGCTTCAATTTGTACTGATAAACTCAATCAGATACTTTAAGGACATAAATCTGCTATAAGAAATAAGGCCAAACGTCTGCAAATCTGAAAGAAATTACAGTGAATACAAAACATGCTATGTATTGCAAAGCAAATACTCAATTTGCTCCTGTTTTATTAGAGACAGAGACTTGAATAAAATGATTGTTGGTAATCATTGAAAATGAACAAACAAAAACTAAGTGTTGGGTTACAAAACCCTTATTGTAACCCACTCTCTCCAAAGTTAATTTCCATCACAAGGAGAAATTCAATTGTTGATATTAAGATGTCCTGACAAAATCCGTGGGCCGCACAAACACTTCTTAATATAGTCAATTACAAGTCAATAAAGACCCGAGGCCAGACTTTGATATTCCCTTTTCTGTTGAAGATAACTACTACATTTTTCAATGGGCTAGACTTCGTCCACACTTCAAATGTACTTAAAATATCCCTTTTTCAGACAGGAACCAGTTAGCAATGCTGATAATGCAATTTATCTCGTCGTTTTGTTCTTATCTTGATTGCTACCTTCTGGAGGTTGTGATAAGAATTGCAAGATCCTCTGAATCTGAACGACATCGACCTGGAATTTTTTAGCAATCTGATGAACATCCATGGGGCCATCGTGATCATCAGCCTTGCCTTCATGCAAGAGGATGACATGTCGCAACTGTGCTATATTTAAAGTTCCTGCAGGAACCGGTCTTTCCTCATATTTGCCAGACTCTGGTTTTGTATTTCGCAATTTTGGCATGGGCCTATTATACTTTTCAACCAGAGAGGCCTGTAACAATATTATCAAACTTTAAGATGAGCTTGTCTTGGTAAAATACACATTAAAAAGTAAAAAGCAAAACTTAGACCATTGAAATTTTGCTAGTCATTGTAGAGGACAGCATTCTTTAAACTAATGCATAATATAGAGGACTAATAATAGCATGTCTGGGAAAGTTCATTACCAGGGAAATAATCACTTTTTTCTCAAAAGCTCCCTCAGAAAGCCTCCAAAGAAGAAGTGTTTATTTCTCTAAAATAAGCTAATCAAAACATACACCAAGTGCATTGCAAAGATTAATCAAATTAGTTAGGTTCCCATGGCACCATCCTAGTAACATGAGTAAAGAATAACAGAAACCATAAATCCAGCATTGATGATGAAGAACAGCGAGACAGGGTAAGATTTCCAAAGGTTTATTAGTATGTAAACACAAAAGTATACAACAACAAAGTATTTTAAGCAAATGTCAATCCATAATATACAGTCAAAGGAAGAATTAGTTTGACAGATTTCATTTCATCTTACAGAAGACTAACAAGCCAATAAACAGAAATGGGATTTCCTCGGTCTTCAATGACAATAATATATTCTTCAAAGCCAGCATATAAAGATCAACATTTGATAGTACTGAATATTCAACTCTAATACAGTTTCACCGGAAAGGGTGAAGAACAGAACGATGTCAAATGTTAGAGTTACAGCATAAACATTGAAATAGATAAGGATATATTACTTACAAAATTATAACATTTATGTATGAAGTTCAACTCTACATAAGAAGTATAAGAAACTTCCATAAACTCACCTCACCCATCTCAGGTTTCCCCCCAGGCTTTGATGTAATTCTACCAACCATTTGACCAAGCATAGCATCAAATTTGGGATCTCTTTCTTCCAAGATGTTGTCAACATTAACTCTAGGTTGATCATCTTAAGCCCAGAACAATAAAAACACTATCAACCACAATGAACAATCATAGTAGCATTATAAAACCTCACACAAACACCAAAATTATAAGCAATATGTAGGCCTTTTGCGAACAGATACAAATTAAGATAAAGGGAATCTTCACGGATAAAGTAATACCTATAGCTAGTAAGACCACAAAATATAATGGTATGCTCAGTAGACAAGATGGAAAATAAGAATCGAAAATTAAGTGGAATGGAAGATTTTAATTTTGGCTAGGTTGCTGCTTGTTAGGGGGTGGAAATGGGTGAACAATTGAAAATTTACTTCCAGCTCCATTTCTTAATATTAAGGAGAAACTAAATTTTTTGAGGTAGGAGTGAAACTATGTTGCACTCCATTTTTCACCATCCCACAATTTGATTGCAACAAGCAATTTTATTTTTTTTCTTTTCCCCAAACTTTTCACTTACCCTCTTTTCTACTTATCCTATTTTCAGCTGAACCAAGCATGCCCTAAGGCAAGGATATCAATTCCTTTGTGGGTACAAAGATATGAATTCCAAAAGCAAAATTTTCAACTTAAATAATGATATTCACAAACCCCCCACATTGTTCTGGGCCTTATTTACGATTTCCCCAACATATCCCTTATTACCCACCTTGATTCCTGAGGCACCCACGAACGTTTTTGGTTTTCTAAGAACGAAATTATGTGAAAGGAGCAAAATTTCTTGCAATCTCGCATAACCCTAACCTCCCAGCCAAAAACCTTAAACCCAAGCGCGCACGCACACACACACACACACACAGAGAGAGAGAGAGAGAGAGAGAGAGACTTACCAGCGTCCCGTGCGTCTTGTTCGGCGGCCTTCGAGATCTCCGCCCCCATGTCGGCGGCAACATTCGGCGGAGGTCGTCGATCGACGGCGGTCTTTGTTTTAGACAAGTGTGAAGTGTCAACTTCGGATGCTGCTCGTATTCTTCCAGTTGCTCGACGAAATGCCTGACCCATCCTTGTCGTGTGGAAGCCAAACGCAGCCTTGTGATTCTTCTTCCTCACACACACTCCTTTTATAATGAAACAGTAATTGATTAATTGATTATAATTACTGTAAACCCCATTTTGAAAAGAGAACACTTTACAAAACCCTGTGGTTTGTTGCTGCAGAGGTTTTAGCGAGAACTTAGCATCAAAGTGACGTGCGCAGCCACAAACCACAGGTACAGGTGCCTCTCGTAAACAACGGAAAATTTAAGTATTAAGTTCCTTTAATATGAGCAAGTTAAAATGATTGCAACTAAAATAATTAATTATGGGATAAATTATTCTATCTATTCTTTTTTTCTGTCTATCATTCTAAAAGATCATTATATCAACAACTTAATTAACATTTATTTTTCCTTTTTTTTTAGATTATAATCTAACGATATTAGAGAATGGTAGACAAAGATAGAGAGAAAAAAAGTAGATAAAATAACTTATCTCATTAATTATATAAATATTGAAGTAAAAATAAGTGTTACGTGTGAAGACAAAATATATATTAACAATATTTTGTAATTACCAAGCACCAATATTTTTAGGAAATTGTTTATCTTTTTTACACTCACATGTATAAAAGAGAGGATAGAAAATAAAGAAAAAATATAAATAAATCTCACCACTTGCACATCTCAATTAATAAAAATGTGAGACATTATAAAATAAAATATAAACAGCATTAGATCTCTACTCCCTAGGGGCTCGTTTTCGTGTAGATCTCGTCCTCAGAGTGTGGTCCATGGCTTCATTGGATTTTGAATGATCTTTCATAGTTTATCACACATTTAATTAATTAATAGCAACTCTAGCGGTTGCTTCGCATCCAATTTATGTCTAGGACTGAAAGTTAGCTGGAAACTGAGAATACTAAAAATAAATAAATAAAGTCCTTGTCAAATGCAAAGACAAAATTTGAAAAGTGGACACAAACTACTTCGATAAAATACGTTGGCAAGAAAATACCCATTGGATATGAATAATAATAATAATAAAACTACAATAACCTCCTTAGGATATAACAAAATAATTTATACTAAATTTATTTTACAACTCTTTATAATAAATACTAATATAAATGTAATAGTAAAGTATTTTATAAGAAATAGATATCTTACAACTCACAAGGCATTATTTAAGATATTTTTTTTTAGTTTCTTGGTATTAATGTTCATTGTAAAGTAGTTTAGAGTCATATAACAACTTAGTTAAAAGTGTAATTCCGTTTAATTTTTCTTTAAAATTGAGCTTTAACTGGTGGAAATGTAAAATAAATAATTTTCACTTTATAGTATAAAAACATTTTTATTTTTATTTTTAAAAAAAATGGATTATTATAATATTTTTTATTTTATGGGTAAAATATTAATGAAAATATAAATATGATCTATGTGATAAGAAATTTTGTCATTCAAATAGAATAAACCTAAACATATCATCAAAACTTTGTTAACCGTATTGATGTGCATTTTGAATTCCCAAACATGACAGCCTGAAAATTTAATGAATATCAACCCAAACATGAACATGAAGATTTTTATTTTTGCTCAAACCTAATGGTAGCATCCTTTACTAGACTCCTCTTAGTTAAAGGTAAAACTGTTAAATGTGCATAAAAATCACCTAAAATGGTCGAATGATAATCAATGTGATAGTACAAAGGAAAGAGAGAGAGAAAAATTTATGTGTGCAAAGACAAAGAGAATGCGAATTTAATAGCATGAATCATGCTCATATATATATATATATATATATATATATATATATATATATATATATGGGAATGATCCATTTATAAATTTCTTTTGAATTTTTTTACAAATTACACTATCTTCTCCCGGGAGAATATAGCGTAACTAGTGTTCTCCAGGGAGAAGATAGTGTAATTTGTAAGAGTTTGTAAACAAAAAAGTTTGTAAATATAACCTGCCTCATATATATATATATATATATATATATACCATCTATTGCATTATGCAACAAAAAGTAGAATAGTAAAATAAATTTAAAATATTTAATTAAATGTTAAAATTAAAAATTACATCATTAAAATGGAAAAACCTAAACTTATCATCAAAACTTTGCTATCCCTGTTGATGTGCATTTTGCATTCACAAAGAAATCAATCCAAAGTTTGGATTCACAAAGAAATTTGTTTTAACTTAACCAATATTGGCTGGCTTTTTTCAAACTTGACGGTTGCATCCTTTACTGGACTCCTCTTGATTAAAAGCAAAATCTTTTAGTGTGAATAGAAATCACCTAAAATGGTAGAATTAAAATCTGTGACAATGGCAGATTTTAATTCTAAAAAAAAATAAAAAATCTGTGACAATGGCTTGTAACGCCAAAGGAAAGAGAGGGAGAAAAATATCTACATGCCCAAGAGGTAAAGAGAAATTGAATTTAATAGCATGAATTGTGCGCTCATATATATATATATATATATATATATATATATATATATATATATATACCCTCGATTGCATTAAACAATAGAAAGTAATATATAAAAATATTTTTAAAATATTTTAATTATAAAATTAAAAACTACATCATTCAAATAATAATTAAAATAACTAAACTTATCATCAAAACTTTGCTATCCATATAAATGTGAGTTTTGCATTCAGAAATAACATTTGAACCCAAACATCTAATAGGAATCACCCCAAAATTTGGATTGACAAAGAAAATTGTTTTAACTCAACCAATATTGGTTGGATTGATTTTTACTTTTGTTTAAACTTGATGGTTGCATACTTTACTTTTCTCCACTTAATTGAAGGCAAAAATGTTTAGTGTGGATAAAAGCTACCTAAAATGGAAGAATGAAAATCAACACGATAGTCACTCATAACGCTAAGAGAAACAAGGAGAAGGTTATTTTAATATATGGGAAAAATATTTCTCTAGTCACCGGAGATAAAATTATCTCCAATGAGTCCAAAACAATGTCGTTTTGGATTGTAAGATTAAAAAATTATAATAATAAATACTAATATAACCCTGCAATAAATTAGAATTACAAAAATATCTTGATTTCTGCAACAAAACAACATCGTTTTGAGCTCACTGGAGATAATTTATCTTCATTGATTGGAGAAATCTTTTACCCTTAATATATAGCATGAATTGTGATTATATATATATACACACACACACACATATATATATATATATATAAAAGATTTGTAATGTCACTTGATATAAGGTTTGATGCGGTAAAAAAATTTGTATTATGTATTTTCGAGAACATATAGTACAAATGTTAAAGTTATTTTTTTTCTCTTTTCAAACTTATAACTATGTATTCCTGCGAATATATAGTTATAATATTAAAATTATTTTTGCTCTCTCTTCTAAACAACTTTTCAGACATTGTCAAGTAACTTAAAGAGAAAAAAAATAATTTTAACATTATAATTATGTATTCCCTGGAATACATAGTTATAATTCTAAAGAGAGAAAAAGAACAACTTTAACATTTGTACTATGTATTTCTGAGAGTATATAGTGCAAATTATTTTTGGGAAAAGTGTTTGTCATTTTAAATGACAGAAAATTATGTCATTTTAAGAGAGATACAGACATAGAAAATTTGAATTTTAAATTAAAAAAACCACTCATTTTCTCTCTCCCATGATTTCCGTTTTTCTGTGTCTATCTCTCTCCTAAAATGACATAACTTATGTCATTTAAAATGATAAACATCAAACCCAAAATTTTTATCGCACCAAATCTTACATCAAGTTATATTATATCTGACAAATCCTATATATATATATATATATATGGGAATAACATCTGTCATTTTAAAGGATATAAGCTTATATCCTTTTCGATCCTAACCGTTGATTTCCGTCCATTAACGGTTATAATTTATTGGATCAAAATTATTAATTAATTAATAATAAATTTGGCCCATTAAGTTTGACCCAATAGATTATAACCGTTGATGGACAGAAATCAACGGTTAGGATCTAAAAGGATATAAGTTTATATCCTTTAAAAGAATAGATGTTTTTCTCGATATATATATATATATATATATATATATATATATATATATAGGAAAAAATATTTCCCAATCAGCTTGAGATAAGTTTATCTACGGCTACCCCAAAACTACGTCGTTTTATTTATTTATTTCCTTATATTAATTGATTCACCTTTGAATGATTATGATTCCATTTTTCTCTATTTTCCTTTATCTCCATTGATCCATCTTTGTACGGTTATGATTTAGTAGCCGGAGATAAGATTATCTCAAGCAACTTGAGAAACGATAAACCCTATATATATATATACCCTCGATTATGTCAAGTAACAAAAAGTAAAATATAAAAATAATTTTGAATTATTTTAATTATAAAATTAAAAATTACATCATTCAAATAGAAGAAAACTAAACTTATCATCAAAACTTTGCTATCCATTTTGCATTCACAAATAATATGTGAACCTAAACATGTAGTTGAAACCAATCCTAAGTTTGGATTGACAAAGAAATTTGTTTTAAATTATTTTGGATTGATTTTTACTTTTATTCAAACTTGACAGTTGCATCTTTTACTAGACTCCTCTAAATGAAGGCAAAATCATGTTAAGTGTGGATAAAAATAACCTCAAATGGTAGACGTAGAATGAAAATCAACGTGATAGTCGCTCGTAATGCCAAAGCAAGGAGAGAGAATAAAATATATACTCATGCAAGAGACACAAGGAGAAAATGAATTTAATAGCATAAATTGTGCTCATGCATATACATATACATATATACACACACCCTTGATTGTGTCATGTAACCAAAAGTAACATATCAAAATAAATTTAAAATACTTATTCTAATGCTAAAATAAAAAATTACCTCATTCAAATAGAAAAAAATTAAAGTTATTATCAAAACTTTGCTATCCATGTTGATGTGCATTTTGCATTCACAATTAACATGTGACCGAACATCTAATAGAAATCAATCCTAATTGACAAAGAAATTTGGTTTTACTCAACAATATTGGTTGGATTGATTGTTACTTTTATTCAAACTTAAAGTTGCATTCTTTACTAGCTAGGCTCCTCTCACTACAAAAATTCAGGCATTTTGTGGAGGTCATATTTTCATATTATGGAGGTCTTTGACCCCCACAAAAGATATTTGTGGCATTCAC